ACTTACCAGCACTGGGGGAGGACCGTGGAGGAAAGGACATTTTAAGCCTACTGCTCACACTTCACACAGAGCTCACCCAAAGGTGTGTCCCTCCTGTTTCACCTGTGAGATTTGGGCAAATTTGAGTACAGAGAAAGGAATCTACTGCTAATAAAATAATTGGTCCAGGCATGGTGCTGCATGCCTAGGAGGCTGAGGTAGGAGGATGGCTGGGACTCTGAGGCCAGTTTGGGCTACCTAGTGGGTTCAAGGCCAGCCTAAACTGCATAGTGAAACCCTGTCTCCAAAATTATGATTATTATCAACTGGGTGTAATGCTACATGGTTCCATTCACTTCACAGACAGAGACAGGAGGATCACCAGAGCCCAAAAGTTTGGGCCTGGCCTGGACAACATAGCAAAACTCTCATCTCTTCAAATAACAGTAAACATAATGAGTTGGAAAACCACTACCCTGGACCATGCTGTCCATCCTACAGGGCCTCCAAGGGGCTCCCTAAGTCTTCTGTGTCCCAAGCAAGGAGCACCACCAGCAGCTCCTCTCATTGGTCATCTGAGAGAGTCCAGCAGCTCCCTATCACCCTCTCCTGTCGCAGCAGCAAGTTGGAGAACAGTATTTCTAATATGCGACAGCTTGAGCCACTGAGAGAGTAGTCACAAGCAGCCGGCACCTTATCTTTCCTTTATAGGAAAATAACCTTTATTGTTGTTGTTCCCTGAATGCCTAAGAGAAAAAAAAAAAGAAAGAAAGAAATTGAAGAGAGACAGTGACAGACTTGTTAATTTCCAGACTCGATGCCAAGCCCTGCCTTAGAGGAAGGACATCGCAGGCATTTTGTTCTTCCAAGAAGTATAATGCCTGGGATTTTTAATTTCAAGCAGTGCAGAGCAATCAGCCTGAGCCAAAATCCCCGAGAACACCACGACTCCAGCAATTTGGGGGTTATCTTCTTCCCTGTCTTTCCCCTCTGCCTGTGTGGTTCCTCCAACCAAGTGGGAAAAGTTCAAGCACAGTTCATAGAAGAGAACATTCTGTACTCGGCGCAACAGGCTGGGCTGCTGTCTGTCAAACAAGATCAACTGCATGAGCTCAGAGCTGCCTGCCGTGGCCAGCCCCCAGCCCAGCCTTCGCGTACAACGCCTGTCGCAGGCTGCCACAGTGGGGCCACCACATACACATGCGCAAGCAATTCTGTCCCCTCCTGTCCTTTACAGTCTGCTTGTGACCACTCCCCCTCAGAGGGTCAAAGAAGCTGCTGTTTGGATCTCTCTCTTTAGAGGTAAATTACAGCCGAAGCATTTCCAAGGAAACAACCCCCTGAGTGTGCACTTCTGCTCTGGCATTGATGGGGCTTTTCAATCTGTTTCAAAGTAATCAGATGACGACAGTATACGAAATGCACCATGGCTGCCTCCCCAGGCTAAGGGAGAGTGAGAGAGGCTGGGAAAGAGGACAGAAGAACAGAAGGAACAGAGTTCACTTCATTGTTGCTCCCCAGCTCACACACACAGATTTGTTATCTTCTGGATCCAAAGCTTTTTCTTCTTTTATCTAGAATTTAGCATGCCATTAAATACATATTTCTTGAGCTTATTTGGAGCCAGGTCTTATCAATAAAATAGTACTGGAGGCAAGGGTTTTCTAGTGAAATGAAACCTGACCTTAAAGCCAGAGGGCTGAGATGACAGGAAGAGAGGAGAAAGCTGTGTGGGGCCCCACAGGAGGCTGGGGGACAGGGCAGAGGGCAGAAGTCCTGAGCCCAGGTGGGCGTTTGTTAGGCTGACAGAGCAGAACTGGGCTGCTTCCCCAGGGTTCCCTCAGAGTGGAATCCCGGCCTCTGTGCAAGGGGAGGAAATGACAATCCCAGGCCCAACTGCTGCAGGCCAGTGGGATGGACTTCCTGCCTCTGCTAAAGGGAGCCCCGTCCTGCACTGTCTCTGTGTGGAGCAGGCAAGTTCCTCTGACTTTGTGCCCATGATCCTCTGCTCTCTGTGGGGTATTGAGAACCTACTGTGGGATTTAAGGAAATAATAGATACCTTTGCTTGTCACACACCCAGGATTTAGTAGATAGCGGCCATGTTACTGTTAATGTAATTACCAGTCAGCGCGAAGCTGGGCTATCAGTTGGGAGCTCCTGCCATGGCTCATCTTCTCCATGGAGTCTGCTGAGCACCTGTACCTGGCGCCACACTCTGTGCCAGGCACAAGGTCTTTGGGAAAGTCTCCTCGCCTTTTCAGGGAAGGCAAATGACAGGGCATAACTTAGGACAGCGGGCACAAATTCTGCAAGCCTGTCTTCCTTTCATGTCCAGACTTGTTTCTTCCAGGCCCCAGATGATCTCCATGACTGTGCCAAGCCTTCTGAGAGAGAAAGGAGGCATGAGGGGTGCTGAGGGCCAGGGGGTGGGTGGGCAGAAACAGTCCTGACATGGACGTTTCTCAGGATTGTTCTTCCGGAGTGCAAACACTCCATCTCACTTCAGGGCCAGAAAACAAGACTTTGAAAAACAAGCAACATCAGGACCTTTGGGGTGGTTGGAGACACCGCACCACAGCTGCTGCCACACAGGGAGTGTGAGGAAGGCAGATCAGGGACACAGCCCAGGATGGCACCCCCACCCCAATCCAACTCCACTGGAAGCCCAAGCCCGTGGGCCACCACACATATCCCAGCCTATAATCCAGAGCACTAATGGAAGCTGGTCTCACAGACTTCCCTTCCATTGGCACTGTCAGAATCCCAACCCTGTCAGTGGACTCAGTCAAGTGTCATTACAGTTGAGGCCCAAACCACAGACCTTGGAACTGGTCTCAAGAATATGGAGAATTCTTTCTTCCCTGTGGAGGCCACCTCTTTTCCCTTCCCTGGCTCTACTCCCTGAGGAGCCTGTTTAAAATGCAGCAGAGAGGGTCTCTTGAGAGCAAATCTCCCATTGGAGTCCTTTGCCCGGCTGGAGCAATGGCCATCTCTAGCCAGTTACAGGTGAAATTTCTAAGGCCCCTGTCTGCATAGGACCATGAAAGCAAAACCTTAAGGATCTGAGGAGGGTCAAGCTAAGTAAATCCGGGGAGTGGGGTAGCAACCAAGACCAGAGAGGTAGTAAATGAAGGGAAAGAGCTCCCAGAGAATTAACCAAGCATTCACACTAACCCACACCCATCCAGGGGTAGGAGAGACCTAAGAAAGTAGCACTTGTAGATGGTTCACTGCATGCCAAGTGCTTTAAAGGCTTTCTCTCCTTTAACCCCCACAATCCTCCTAGGTGGTAGGTGGCGCTATTATCCCTACTGCAGATGACGAAGTCAGAAGTCAAAACAGTGTATCTTGCTATTAAACAGCTAAGCCATAGCAGAGAGTCCAGATCTACACAGCCTGAAAGCCCCGGTTCCTTTCATGATGCCATTCTACATCCCTGTGTATAAAACTCTTAGAATAGGACCAGAATGATCTTGTACATTTACGTTGGTTATTCAGAGACTGAGGTCTCAAGCTGAAGTTCTAGGGCTGGGGATGTGGCTCCGTGGTAGAGCACTTTGGCCAGCACGCACAAGCTCCTGAATTTAATGCCCAGTACCACTGCCAAAAAAAAAAAAAAAAGTGAAGAATTGTCCTGATGCTGTCAAGCTGAAGCTCTGACAGCCAGTCCCACTTTTCAGCCTCATATATATTTGCCCTA